AAAAAAAAAAAAAAAAAAAAAAAAAAAAGGAAAGGAAAAAAAAAAACAAGGGTTTTCACCACCACCTTTAGTGACCGGCACTGACTGCTTGCATACACCTTTGGTAAATGACTGCGCAGTACGTACACCTTTGGGAATGGCTGCATATACTTTTGGTGAAAGGCTGCCCGCTTAGATATATATTGAGAAAATCTGACTGAAATGGTGAATGGGAGGTCTAGTAGAATGTTAAGCATCCAAGCTGATCGTACTCCACGAGTACATCAAACAAGACAACGCACGTACCACACACTTTGAATGATACCATAGAAACAAACAATCGGTTAATCATTCATACGTTCCACAAACCCAGAAACCGCCGAACATTCCACCTTCCCACGGTCAATCGTGGTGAAGTGTCGTGATGGACCGTCAACCGAAAGAGGTCTACTACAGTACCAAACAATGCTTAAGTACTACGTGCTTACTGGTGTTGTTTACTGAGCGGAACATCGTCCGAACACCACAATCGAACTTTCCAGAAAGGTGGTACTTAGCAACTAAACGGTACCAAAGTCGACCCTGGTTCACTTCAATTACTGACCAAGGTCGTCCAACAAGCTAGTACTAAGCCAAAAACAAAACCAATCGGGAAAAGGGTCTGGGCTCACGAGGCCCAAAAAACCCGAGGGACCGAGCCAAAGTCCAAACCAAACCCAAAGTAGCCCGGGTTCGAGGGGCAACAAGCAACGTCCTACCGATAGTTCTCAGGAACAACAAACAAAATAAACGAAATCCACGAGTCATACCTTCTATAAGGGATCATACCAAAAAACCCTGTCGCTACAAAAACAATCCTACTTGTCGTTCATTGGAAGTGCATAGTGGTACAAATTCCTAGTACACACTTCGACAAATTCCCTGTCACTACAACATCTGGGTTCTGTCGCAACAAGCCAATTAATCCCAAAGTGGACCGCTACTGGCTTACCAGATCGACAACCAACTTCCAGTGGGCATCACGCCCATGGGCGAATCATTTAAGGACGCGCAAAAAGGAATCCCCTGCAAAGTCTTTCAACCGTGATTCCCTCTTCAGTGATATGACTCTTCTTGGAATTTCATGTCTCATATATGTGTTACAATCAATTCGGTGCAGATGGCTTGCTAAGACAACGGTTTTTTGCATCTTACTGCCCCATGACCGGTAGGACTGACCATTGAAAAAAGTTAAGCGTTCATCCTTCCATAGCAAAGCTTCATTCTTTAAAATCTGCACACATTCCAGAAATGGAAAATGACGTTTAGACCGAACTTCGCATTCGAGGAATTCCCATGAACCTACACCATCAGCAATTCTTTTCGGTGGGAGATTCTCGGGATAACATTTCGAAACCACCGAGAAGATGTCCGCTGTTTCCAGAGTCCCAAGATGCCCTCCTGCAATGAACAAACTTACATCGTCGATCAGTCGGACTCCAAACACGACACTACGCTGGTTCCCCAAACTGTGGAGGAACAAAAACTCGGACCGTGCACACATGATGCACGCGCAAGGGGGAAATGTGCTCTTCCCCATAGGTATTCCGACCTTCTGTTGAAGTAGGACACCTAAAGCTTAAGTGTGCATGTGAGTGAGTTCGAACCTCACGAATTTGCGGATCTCGTCGAAAGCGATCTTCCTTCAGTGGTCGTACCCTGCCGTAACACCGAAACTAGCACCTTTTCCCCTTGGATTGACCCGAACAAAGTTCCTTCCCTTACTTGTATGGAACTCCAACAACCAGTCGACAACATTCAAGATGTCATCATGCGGTAGAAGGCTGAATATGTCCTTGATATCAAAGGACCGTGCAACGACACCCCGGCTCGAACCCAAACCACCCAACTTCTTATTAATCCCCGTCTCATCTTCAACATAGAGACTGCCTTAAGATTGAAATGCCAGTCCGGAGGAAGACAGTCTAAGATGTGATTAAGAGTTTCTGCAACCACTTTGCTTGTCCGTTTGGTTGGTTCCGAATACGACGACAGATTGGACGAAAGTGCTCGAGATCCTTGTGTTTCAGCATTGCAAAAGCGTGCCCAATAGAGCCTTTTTCGTCCCATCGCGCAAACTCCAGAATACCGTCCCCCTTTAGGGCCGATCTCATGTCAACCACTACTGTCTTGTCGGTCTTCATGACGGGTACATACCCGACATTCTGTACAAACAAGGTCATCATCCCCTCATAGTACAAAAGTGGACACAACACCAAAGTTTCACCCAGATTCTTGTCGCGAGGAGTAAGCACCAAGCCACAAAAACGCTTCCTTACCTCAACAACATCACTCAACTCCAGAAAACGTTCCTTTTGTGTTTCGACCTCCATCATACAGCGAGTCAACTCGATGGACGAACAACAAACAGTTTGACCCTTCGTGATAGCCCATTTGGAAAAACTCTCGCTGATTTCCTGGCCCAACTTCTTCGCTCTATCCCGATGATTAGCTTCCGGGACATTGCTAGCATTCATCAATTGAGGTGAGATGCCTTCCACTTCACGTAAACGGACGCGCACATGGCCTCGTACCCGTGGGTACGGGAAACCTGCGCAGGCGCAGAGTGAGACATCCAATCGGGCAAAAGCCCGATGGTTGTGAATCAGGTCCGCAACACTTGGATTACGTGTCCAAATGATGCAGAGCGATCTTCGTGCGCGTCGGACTACGCAAGGTGGGAGAGCAAACTCTCCCAACTTATCTTTCACCAATTTCCGTACTTCAACCAATTTTATACGATCATCTAAAACCAGGCGAAATATAATACGAGCTGAGAAATTGAAACCAAAGCCCTCCTTCACACATCTTCCAATCAGTCGTCTCAGGTAAGCGCGCGTGCTCTTCCTATCGGAGTCCTTGACCGTATTATACAGACTAGATAGTGAGTCGAGGTCCCATCTTCGAAGCTGATCTAAACGTTTGGGGTTGCGTAAGAGAGAGATTAAAAACGGTTTATTAATGTTCCTCCGTGCTCTCCATCGCCTCAGATATTCAAAAACAATACACCCTTTGGTTTCAAAGACTCCTTTGAACTCCCTCAAACACCCGGTCTTCCCTTCATACGTAACGCGCGAGGATCCGAAAGCCTTACGTACCCCATTCCACCTATCAAACCAGGTACTTCCTCCCTCGATATACAAGGAAAACTTACGAATATCATTCTCATCCTGACTTTGCAAGGTCTGAAACACGCCCACTGACCATGCATCTTCATCATTCCCACGCACTCGAATCGGGTTTATGGCCCGATTGTTAACTTCCAGTGTTGGTCCCGACTTAGCCCATCTAGCCCGCTCCTTCCTACCTTGTCGTTCGTTCCTACCCCGACATGGATTTTTTCCAGCCGTGTTAAAAAACAGACTCCATTGACGGATGAAAAGTGACTCAACAGAAACCAGGTCCGCGGGTTCCATGATCTCAACAGACAACAAACAGTAGGATTCCATCCCAAAGCATTCCCACCAACGATACAAATGCATATTCTTCACATTATGCTTGTATACAGACAAATGTTCTCTCCATTTGATCGCAGGGGAGCGAGACGTCTCACCAATATATTGTGATTTACATCTGATGGAAGTGACTACGTAAACACAATTAGGTTGCGTCAGAAAATCCAACCCAAAACGCAGATAGAGTTTAACCCAAGAATCAACACACGTCACAAGCCAACGGTGACAACCACGCAATGCGAGTAACCGGGTTAAAAGGCAAAAGATCAAATCCAAACCATCGTTGGTTGTGAGTCGAAAGGTAATGATGACGTCAGACATCACGATCCATTGCTGTGTCATTAGCCCAATTAAGGTCTGTGCTCCTTCATCTGTCTCATCTTAGCTTGAACGCATGGCTTTTTCCTCCAAATTCTCAAAGACACCGAAATCTGGTAACAGCTCACCAAACCGAAGTTGTGCACGTCTATCGGCAACATTGGAGATTGCTTGCACCTTCGTTGCGTAGTTAACACCTTCTTCTCGGCAGATAGTCTGCAGTGTATCATAGTCCGTTTTCGATGGCTCCCTCCGCGTGCTATCAAGAAAAAGCAAGCGGTCCAGCACAA